CTACTGCTACGGCTGCTACTGCTGCTGCTACTGCTAGTACTGCTGACCGTGCTGCTAGTACTGCTAGTACTGCTACTACTACCACTACTACTACTACTACTACTACTACTACTACTACTACTACGACTACTACGACGACTACTACTACTACTACTACCACCACCACCACCGCTACTTCTACTACAAATACTGCTGCTATTTAATGTTGTTGCTGCTGCTGCTGCTGAACTGCTACTACTGCTGCTGCTTCTGCTGCTGCTGACGGTGGCGTGTGAGGGAGAGGAGGAAGTTGATGTTCACGCCTGCTACACTCGTCGTTCTTTGCCAGGATCTGGAAATGCAGCTTCGGAGCGTTGGGGTTGTGTTTCTCATCTGTTCATAGATGCTATATGATTGTGGCAGCGATGTTGGCGTTTCAGGAACTGCGACGCTGTCGATCGACTTGTTCGGCGGTGCGAAGTCTTTCCTCCCGCTGGAGGACCGCTTTAGGGACAACAGATTCCGAGAGCTGAGAGCATTACCCGAAACCCCAAGCCCTAAATCCGAGACCCCAAACCCTAAACCCTGAACCCAAGACCTTAAGCCCTAAACCCTAAACCCTATAGACCCTAAATCTAACATCCTCTGTCTGAAAGCTTGAGTCCCAAGCCTTCATTACTAAACCCTAGGCCCTAAACCCTGGTCGGGCTTAGGGTTTGAGAAGTCCTAGACCCCACACCCTAAGCCCTAATGATATAGGGGCTTTAATAATCAGAATAGGGTTTTGGGGTATATTATACTGTAATGATAATAAGGATCCCCCAAAATAGTATGGGTAATTATTGAGGCCCCTACATTCCCCTAATAGGTTCTAGGGTGTGAGGGAGCTGCGTGAGCAAGTGACCTCCTGGATCAGGAGCAGGTCCGCGGAGTTTACGCGAGCCTTGGATCCAATACGCTGTTTGGGGTTTAGGGGTTCAGGGTTTAGGGCTTAGCGTTTAGGGTTTAGAGGTTTAGGGGTTTAGGGTTTAAGGGTTTAGGGTTTAGGGTTTACGGGTTTAGGGTTTTAGGGGTTTCGGGTCGAGGGATTGCATATGAATAGCAGCAACAGTAGCAACAGCAATAGCTGTAGCAGTACAGCAATAACACTACGCCATATTACACGACAACTAGTGAAACGTGAAACGTTTCAATTTGATCATAATAGGCAATAATAGGATTACACATAATAATAGTAACAGCAGTAATCGTACTGGCAAGAGTGTTGGAGTGTTAAAGCGAATAATAATGATAATCGGAAGAAGAACAAAAAGAGCACTTGTCATATTCATCGTATTAGTTCAGAAAATTATGATACCTCATGTGGACGTCATTAGAGGATAAGGCTCCTGCATGTTCCATGTTCGGGTCCCTTGGCTCTGAAAATTTCACGTGATAACATATACAAAGGCGTCAAAGCCGGAGAGCACCCACAAGTCCACGATGATGTATTGAGACTTATAAGACCGAATTCGTGGAACCCGCGGTGCGACATCGAAGTCTTACAGAGCATGCAGCTGCGGAAGCCACGGGTATGGTAAACATGGAATGGAAACGGCATGAATTCAGCTATCTAACCTGCTGACTGACTGAGTGACTGAGCAAGTGGGGAAGTGGATACAACTCTAGACACCAGCTAGTGTTCTACTCGCATCATTACAGATGAAGGTTCTTAGAATATACCCGGCCAAACTGCAAACAGCAAAACTACACGACGAAGGCACATATCTATGCCTGTCGATGCTGACCGGAACAGCCAAGTCGGACTCGAAGAGGAGACATTTCCAAGAATGGCTATCGCCAATGAGTTCCTCAAGATCAAGGCCTCATGATTTTGGATTTGGGGCGTGGAACCCAAACCCCTACCACTACAAGTGTAGTAGGTTTCCACAAGACAGGTCTAAACCCCCAAACCCAAATCCCAAACCCCCCAAACGCAAGACGTGGCCCCTTGGATCTGCCGGCTGTTTCTGGCGACCCCACTCGTAGGATCTTCGTAAGTATGGCTTTAGGTACTTTAATTGGGGGTTACAAGGAGTCATGAGGCAATGCTGCCCTAATAGTAACCCTATAGGTACTAAATCCCATGATCCTTGACGTAACCCTAAGACCCCTTATAGAACCTGTATAGTTCCCTTCAAAGCAGCCTTTTCAGATGATCCTGTAGGAAGCATCTCAGGTACCTGTCGCACATTGTGGAGCAGTACCCCCAAGAGCCGCCTCACTGGGTCAGTGTTGTGGGGTTTATATACAATTAATAATACCATTGTGGGGGTATAGTATAATGCACCCCCCAAAACCCTATTCTTATTATTAAGGCCCCTACATATATATATATATATATTTTCTTTTTTTTGGGCGGGTGGGGGGTGAAGGGGGGGTTACAGGGCTTAAGGCTGGCTTAGGGGTTAGGGCTATAAGGGGATTAGAGTAGGGTTTGCGGGTATATTTTACTATATTATAATGAGGAACCACCCAAAACCCTATTCGAATTACTAAGGCGCCGACATGATGTGAGCCAAAAGGCAGCAATCACCCAGACGTGATGTGGTGTCGCATTGAACACCCCTGTGCCGGAGCCTTGATGACTAGCGAAGTCATCCTTTCCACACCGTAACCTCAATACTTGGTTCTGTATGTGTTACATGCATCACATAGACATGATGTCGAAGCTTCCCTGCAGAAGCTTCATCTCCATCGCATAGCAATATGTTCTTCTGGCAGCGTCTATCTTCATCCGAACCCCCGACCACGCACTAAACTAGGAGAAGGCCCTGCAGTAATCGTCAGCGGACAGAACTGGGTCATGTTGGGTCTAAACCCCAAGCCATTTTTCGCAACCTTTATTGTGCCCATATAGTACCCTTACAGTAGCCCTTATAGTAACCCCAAACCTGAAACCGTTCAACCCTGTTACAGAACCCTTAAAGGACATACCTTTTTTGAAATGGTTCTAAACCCCAAACCTTTCCAGGTTTGGTCACGGATACAATCTGGTCTGCCACTCGCAGGGCGCGTTGGTCTGCAGGGTGGTGGTCCAGGCTCCAGTCTAGGGTTTAGGGGTTGGGACTAGTTTGAGTCATTGTTGATTGTTTTTTGTGGCGCGGAGGCTGCCCTGAAAGTAGGGAACCCTCACTGTAGATTGGCAGGTCATGGACGACCATCGCGTGCTGACGTTTGTTTCCTTAGCCGGGCCTCAGAGCTTTGGACGCATAGTGGCTGAAAAGCCAAGGAGCTTAGGGTCAAGAGCAAAGGGTTTAGTACCAAACCCTAAACCCCTAAACCCTAGTGGCCCTAGTTTAGAGCGTAGAGCGCCGGGTTTTTTCAATGTAGGGTTTAGGTACTGGGCAAAGGGTCGCTTGCTGGCCAACTGGGAGGTTTATCGGTGGTTATAAGTAGGGTCATAAGTCCCGTGCAGCAATACGGGGTATAACTATAGACGATAGTAGCCCGACTTATTACACCACTTAGAACTACCCACGAACCTCCAAGAAGCACTTGTGTTCGGAAGACTGCTTCCCTAAAGCCGTCCGAAGCCAAACCCAAGAAACAGGTCTCGAAATCTTATCAACCCTAAACCTTAAATCCGCAATCCCAAACATTGGGGTAGTTCTCGAAGTTGGTTCCCTTTTAGGATCCTTTATATAAGGGTGTCGGAGACCTAAAAAGGGACCCTCATTTAGAGAACTACCCACAAAGTACCCTTATCGAAACCCTATAGAAACCCTTATAGATCCCTTTTAAGGAACCCTAAAAGGGGACCTTAATACATACCCATTGAGCCGCATACCGAGAAGCCCCTGAACCCTCTACTGTAGGGCCTCCAACTCAGAGCCCTGAAACCTAAACCCTCTACCCTAAAGGTTGCAAAGCCCTGACGTGCTCTTCCCCGTATGAGTTCGGAGTGCCGTAGAAGTTCCGCTTGCAGTTTTTTTTGTGTGTGTTTTTTTTGGAGGGGGGGGGTAGGGTCTGAGTGTCGGGCTTAGGGTTCAGGGTCTAGTGTTCAGGGTTCAGCGTTTAGGGCTTAGGGTGCTTCCAAGCTATTTGCGTGAAGGGAGAAACTCTGGTCATCCTATCGTTCAGCTTGTTGACCGCAGCTACTACGACCGCAAGTAGATCCTGATAGACTCGATGACTCGATCAGTCTTTGTGAAGTCAAGCAGTTTCTTTTCGTGTATGTGGGTGGCTGAAAAATCGGAGTGTTCGGAGAGCACTATCAGGTGGGGTCCTTCGGTTCGTAGGATCGCACCAAATTCAACTCAACCAGTTGTTTCGGGATTTTAGGGTCTAGGGTTTTGGGTTTGGGTCCCTTATGGGCTAAGCGCATTCGAGAGGCCATGTCGCACTCTGCGACGAACGCACGCAAGTGCACCATGTCCCATGCACACGAGCCAAGCTTCCTTTCAACCGTTGCCTGAGGATGGGTGTGTATGGCACCACCTGGCTGGAGAATGCACAGCCCTTTCTGCAACAGAGCCTCCCAGAAAGCCTTCCGATTCCTGCGCACCCTGGCAAGAACGTGATATTCTTCGTAGGTGTGGGGACTTTCATGCTCTGCGGATTCGGAGTACAGGTTTGGATCTAAATAAGACAAAGCAGCCCAAGCACTACACCCCAAACAACAACTCGGGGCCGCGAGAGCTGCAACCCTAAACCCTAAACCCTAAACCCTAAACCTTGAACCCTAAACCCAAAACCCTGAAACCTAAATAAACCCTAATCATTCCCGAAAAAAGCATGTCCTAAGGCTGCCTCCTTTCATTCCCGGGGCGGTGTTGAAGGTGGGTGCTGGCATCCTCGCCAGCTGGGCACCCGGTGTCCATTGCTCCAGGAGTTGAGAGCTTCGGGGTTTAGGGGTTTGGGTTTGGGGTTAAGGGTTTTGGGGGTTAAGGATTCAGGGTTTAGGGGTTTAGGCGACGAAAATGTCTTCGGGGATTTCATTTTAAAACAGGGTTTCGGCCGTTCAGAAGTTGCCGGCCTAGGTCTTACTACCCAGCATCAAGCTTTGAAAGTTGTGGGCTGTGGGTTCGATGCTAATTTGAGGGGCTTTCGGGCTCAGGGGTCGTGATTTTGGGATGAAAGGCTGCAGACCTCCCCCGCGCGTCCGGGAAGTGACGCTCGAGGGGTCTCAAGGGTACATGGATTTCAAGTCTAGGGCCCCTAAACCGTAAACCCTAAACCCTAATTGGGCTGGGTCCGGGTTCAACTGCAGCATGTTGCTTTGTGGTTCGGCGCTGGGTTCAGGAACAGAGTTGCTCCAGTCTTGCGTTTCGATTTTTGGGGTGGTTCAGCTTCTCGGGCTGGGCTATCTGGGTGTGCCAAAAGGAGCATCTTCACTCGCTTACACAATTCTTGATTGTGCAATCCCTGCAGCCGTAAAACTTCGTCATAATATAGGAATACATTAATATATTGCGGAATATAAGCTGTTAGTCAGTTAGTAGCAACATTATGTCTTGGGGTTTGCGAAAAAAGAGTGTGGCAAACGTCTAGGAGTCTAGGAGCCCCCAACTCTTCTGTTTATAATGTAGGGGCTTGCCTACAGTTTTTTGGGGATGCCTTATTGTGATTATAGTATAATGTAGGGGCTTAAATAATTGCCTACAATATTTTGGGGGTTTCTTATTGTGATTATGGCTATGGTAAAATGGGCACCAAAACCTTGTTCTAATTAACAACCCTAAGTCCAACACCGCAGGCGTCTAGTAGCTCTTTCATTGTCTTGGCAGTCTGGAATTGGCTTCCTAGCACCATCACTTCCGTGATGTAGTTGGTGCAGAAAGATCCTTATACCGCGGCCTGAGTATTCCAAAGTGATCCGAGAAACTCACCGAAACCCTAGCCTAGTCATTCCGGCTGCTGTGTTAGACAGACTTGCCCCTAAGCCCTAACCCCTAAACCC